AATATATGTAGTAGATATAGAGGAAAAATAGATTGACTAGAAAGGCGGGATGCAAGAGCTAATAGCTCGATTCTGCAGACACAAATAGTAACTATACACACACACACACACACACTCAGGAATCTGTACACCAGTTGATTGACAGTTGAGAGGCGGGACTAAAGAGACAAAGCTCAACCCCCGCAAGCACAACTAGGTGAATACAAGTAGGTGAATATACACATACGGTACAAGAGTTTATTACATTTGTATTATCTTTTATTCATGATTCTTGCCTGGTTGTTGAGTCACTGATTGTATAGCCGCTCCCCGCTCGCGGCGCTCCCCGCCCTTCACTATCCTCCCCTCGCTCGTGGCCGCTCCCCGCCCTTCACTATCCTCCCCTCGCTCGTGGCCGCTCCCCGCCCTTCACTATCCTCCCCTCGCTCGTGGCCGCTCCCCGCCCTTCACTATCCTCCCCTCGCTCGTGGCCGCTCCCCGCCCTTCACTATCCTCCCCTCGCTCGTGGCCGCTCCCCGCCCTTCACCATCCTCCCCTCGCTCGTGGCCGCTCCCCGCCCTTCACTATCCTCCCCTCGCTCGTGGCCGCTCCCGCCCTTCACTATCCTCCCTCGCTCTGGCCGCTCCCCGCCCTTCACCATCCTCCCCCCGCTCGTGGCTGCTCCCCGCCCTTCACCATCCTCCCCCCGCTCGTGGCTGCTCCCCGCCCTTCACCATCCTCCCCCCGCTCGTGGCTGCTCCCCGCCCTTCACTATCCTCCCCTCGCTCGTGGCCGCTCCCCGCCCTTCACCATCCTCCCCTCGCTCGTGGCTGCTCCCCGCCCCTCACCATCCTCCCCCCGCTCGTGGCTGCTCCCCGCCCTTCACCATCCTCCCCTCGCTCGTGGCTGCTCCCCGCCCTTCACCATCCTCCCCTCGCTCGTGGCTGCTCCCCGCCCCTCACCATCCTCCCCCCGCTCGTGGCTGCTCCCCGCCCTTCACCATCTTCCCCCCGCTCGTGGCTGCTCCCCGCCCTTCACCATCCTCCCCTCGCTCGTGGCTGCTCCCCGCCCTTCACCATCCTCCCCTCGCTCGTGGCTGCTCCCCGCCCTTCACCATCCTCCCCCCGCTCGTGGCTGCACCCCGCCCTTCACCATCCTCCCCTCGCTCGTGGCTGCTCCCCGCCCTTCACCATCCTCCCCTCGCTCGTGGCCGCTCCCCGCCCTTCACCATCCTCCCCTCGCTCGTGGCTGCTCCCCGCCCTTCACCATCTTCCCCCCGCTCGTGGCCGCTCCCCGCCCTTCACCATCCGGGTGCCTGGTCGGTCTAGGGGGCTGGAGCTCGCTTATTTATTGCCTTTGATGTGCGTGGCATTAGCCTGCCGCATTGATCAGTGCTTCACCAGGACGAGCACCAACAGCCGGGCTGATCCCCAAGGAAGATCTACACCAGAATGTAGTAGTGGTAATTTACAAACTTAATTCCGTTTATCTGTTCTTCTCTTCAATTTGCTCTGCTGCTCAAGTTGCCTTGATTAATGAAGTTCATTAAGCGCTCGTAAATTATTCAATGAATGGCTTTGAATGAAGATTGATTTCGGGAGTTTTGGTGAATGGATTTCCACTTTTTTTGTTAGAGGTCTCGGGGGGTGAGTCCCGTTTAGGGTGTTGAAGTGTTCCTTCTGGAGCTGGCTCCTCCACCCTCCTTACTGCTCCATACTCGCACCTTTTTGTTCCATTACTTCTGATTGTTCAGTCTTTCTCGCTGCCTGTAGCGTCAGGTCTCGCTACGTGACGTTGGGAAGGTCTCGCTGCCTGACGTTGGGAAGGTCTGGCTGCCTGACGTTGGGAAGGTCTGGCTGCCTGACGTTGGGAAGGTCTCGCTGCCTGACGTTGGGAAGGTCTGGCTGCCTGACGTTGGGAAGGTCTCGCTGCCTGACGTTGGGAAGGTCTCGCTGCCTGACGTTGGGAAGGTCTGGCTGCCTGACGTTGGGAAGGTCTGGCTGCCTGACGTTGGGAAGGTCTCGCTGCCTGACGTTGGGAAGGTCTGGCTGGCTGACGTTGGGAAGGTCTCGCTGCCTGACGTTGGGAAGGTCTGGCTGGCTGACGTTGGGAAGGTCTCGCTGCCTGACGTTGGGAAGGTCTGGCTGCCTGACGTTGGGAAGGTCTGGCTGCCTGACGTTGGGAAGGTCTCGCTGCCTGACGTTGGGAAGGTCTGGCTGCCTGACGTTGGGAAGGTCTGGCTGGCTGACGTTGGGAAGGTCTGGCTGTCTGACGTTGGGAAGGTCTCGCTGCCTGACGTTGGGAGGTCTGGCTGGCTGACGTTGGGAAGGTCTCGCTGCCTGACGTTGGGAAGGTCTGGCTGTCTGACGTTGGGAAGGTCTGGCTGTCTGACGTTGGGAAGGTCTGGCTGTCTGACGTTGGGAAGGTCTGGCTGTCTGACGTTGGGAAGGTCTGGCTGTCTAACGTTGGTAAGGTCTCGCTACGTGACGTTGGGAAGGTCTGGCTGCCTGACGTTGGGAAGGTCAGGCTACCTAACGCTAGGAAAATCTGGCTGCCTGACGTAACCGCGGTATTTCTGACGCAGACGGCCGGCCATCAACCTCAGTGCGGGATCTTACAGTATATCTTCTATCCTGCTCCCGAAATCTTTCTGTTCCCTTCCAAACTCTCTCCAAGTCTCCTCGTGGTCGTGCAAGAGAAAGAGTTGGAATCCATTTGTCATTACTTTTTCCCATAATTCTCAGCGCTGAGACCGTCACACCCATCATCCCTGCTCTGGAAACGTCACTCTTCGCCTCCACGATGCATTTGGCGGCCGACGACTTGCGAAATTGGCCATCAGGTTTTGGTCGCTGACGGCTTCCTGGGTATCGCTTACCGTCTTCACACAAAGCTATTTCTCGGCGTGACTGATTATCGTGGCTTTTCCCGAGTCCGCGGTCCTTGTTGCGCAGCGGCTGCAATATTGTTATTTTTCGTTATGGCGAGGGCTCTTAGGGCCAGGTTCATGTCGGCGGTGTGGCTTAGGGTGTGGGGGCGGACCTATGTGCTTCATCACACTACGTCTTTAATGTCTCCTCCCTCCTGGCCTGGCCTGGCCTTCCTGACCCATCAATCCATTCCATCCCCGCCCGGCATACTTGCTGGGGCCTACCAGAGTATCTGGTCCCCTTGGGGGTATACTCTCTCTCTCTCTCTCTCTCTCTCTCTCTCTCTCTCTCTCTCTCTCTCTCTCTCTCTCTCTCTCTCTCTCTCTCTCTCTCTCTCTCTCTCTCTCTCTCTCTCGATCTCTCTCTCTCTCTCTCTCTCTCCTCTCTCTCTCTCTCTCTCTCTCTCTCTCTCTCTCTCTCTCCTCTCTCTCCCTCTCTCTCTCTCTCTCTCTCTCTCTCTCTAGTTCTCTCTCTCTCTCTCTCTCTCCCTCTCTCTCTCTCTCTCTCTCTCTCTCTCTCTCTCTCTCTCTCTCTCTCTCTCTCTCTCTCTCTCTCTCTCTCTCTCTCTCTCTCTCTCTCCTCTCTCTCTCTCTCTCTCTCACTCTCACTCTCTCTCTCTCTCTCTCTCACTCTCTCTTCAAAATCTCTCTCTCATCTCTCTCTCTGTATTCTCTCTCTCTCTCTCTCGCTCTCTCTCTCTTCTCTCTCTCTCTCTCTCTCTCTCTCTCTTCTCTCTCTCTCTCTCTCTCTGCTCTCTCTCTCTCTCTTCTCTCTCTCTCTCTCTCTCCTCTATCTCTATTCTCTCTCTCTCCTCTCTCTCTCTCTCTCTCTCACTCTCACACTCTCTCTCTGTCTCTCTCACTCTCTCTTCAAAATCGTCGGACAAAACACCACATAACAGACTTGGTACTTTATGGAAGTTGGTGAAGGGTCGGAGACATGGAAGGTAAATATAATAATATAATGCATTATGCCACAAACGAATTAAGCCTCAGTTGCCCACAAGAAGACGTAGCGTCACCACGACGTGCGTCAGTTACGTTTACGTCTCATAACACTTGGAGAGTTGCCGCGTGAATGAAGACGATAAGGTAAAAATATTTGCCCTAAATTAACGCAGATTTTGGTACACAATATAGTGGAAGCTTTTAAGATAATGAAATTTGAAAATCTTAAAGAAGACCTATTAAAAGAACAAAGAGATTTAGCGAGGAGAATGTGTCACAGGTTTTGTGCTAGAAACGGGAATAAAAAGCCGTTTGGTTGACTAAACCGATTTTGGAGCTGATGTCCAGACCAACGTGGTGGTGGTGGTGTGCAGGAAGAGCACAGCACTCCTCTGTGTGTGGTGAAGGTGTGGGCTGTGGCCCAGTGTTGACTGTAAGACTGCTAACAGGTCGGTTGTGATACTATCACTCTCGTGTTGCAACTCTGGAGTCACAACTGTTGTTTGTTTGAGGTTTGCTAGCAGAGAGGTAAAGCAGGATAGGTCCAGTAGGGATGTCCGGCAGAGGAGGTCCAGCAGGGAAGGTTCAGCAGGGAAGGTTCAGCAGGGAAGGTCCAGCAGGGAAGGTCCAGCAGGGAAGGTCCAGCAGCGTGTGATTTAGACCTGAGGAGGTCCTCAATGAGCTGGCAAACCTTAGTTTCTCGTCCTTTAACTTAATTTCAAGAAAAACGGGTAAGCCTCAGGAACTCGACCTTTTTTCTCGCCAGTGTTTGTTGTGTTAATAAGTTGGTTGGTTGGGAGTGGTTGAGTGTTGAGGACGGGATGTGGTGGTACCCGTTGTGTGCTGGGGTTGGTGCGGCGGAACCACCGTGCTCACGTCTACTGGCTCCTCACTCACTCCCACATTTAGAATGTGTCACATAAGAGAGAACAGGCAACCTCTAACGTTTTGAATACAAAACGTTACAGAATATAGGAACAAATCTCTCGAAACGCAGTAAATATTGACCCAGTACTGTGATACAGGACATGTTCAGGCAGTCGTCTGTATGTTGACAACTTTTGTATTAATTGGTATGATTTTCGTCTTGCGCAGAGACCTCTTTTTATGTAACCCTTCATTAACATTTTGTTCCTGTCACCAGAACAATACGGGAAGTAAAGGAGAGACGAGACGTGGCTGCAGCCGGCGCTCCTCAACACATCTCAGGTATTTATCACAACTAGATTTCCTGTTTAATATCTCGCCCGTGAACAAGGGCTCTTGATCCGCTGTCTGGGCTGTTATGGTAAATATTGCCTATAACAAATGTAATGATTAATTTATAGGTTCTAGTCATTCTTTTAGTTTCAATACACACACACACACACACACACACACACACACACACACACACACACACACACACACACACACACACACACACACACACACACACACACACACACGTTCGCGCTCTCTCATCTTCTACTACTGAGTGAAAGAGAAAGAGAGATTGTTAGAGTACATAAAGAGACAAGATAACAAAGAGAAGGAAGAGGAATATGGAAAGAAGGGTATATAAAGTTAAGGAGCGACGGAGGAAGGAGTAAGGAAGGAGAGAGAAAGAGGAAGGAAGAAGAGCTGTGGTCCAGCTAGGGACCAGCTGCCGTGAGACCATCCATCAGACCCACACACTTGTCACAGCCAGACACCAAGAGATCACTCACCATGGCTGAGACACAGACCCCTGCCGCTCACCTTTATCATCACCTCTGTACCAGCACACACCACCAAACATTATGACATATTAACATTTATAAATAAGAGAAGCTACATATATATATGCGCCACCAGCACATTCTTGTTGTTCCTCGCACTGGTTTAACACTTGAACTGTCGCACGAGAAATGGACGGAGCTTTATGGAAGTCAAAGAATGAGTAGCCGTTTTCTTCTTGGCGTTGTTAGGTGTTTATAGGTTGGGGTCCCCAGTAGGCGGGGACGGGCGGAGGTCCTTGACGACTATATACGATGTCGTCAAGGCTTCAAGCGCCAGTAAAGAGAAATGAAAAAACATTGAGCTCGCATGAGTTTTCTTTTGAGGTGTTTGTGATACTTCTCCCCACATTCGCTGCTTGTCATACCTTTCTCTGTCTGTCTGTCTGTCTCTCTCTCTCTCTCTCTCTCTCTCTCTCTCTCTCTCTCTCTCTCTCTCTCTCTCTCTCTCTCTCTCTCTCTCTCTCTCTCTCTCTCTCTCTCTCTCTCTCTCTCTCTCTCTCTCTCTCTCTCTCTCTCTCTCTGTCTCTCTCTCTCTCTGTCTCTCTCTCTCTCTCTCTCTCTCTCTCTCTCTCTCTCTCTCTCTCTCTCTCTCTCTCTCTCTCTCTCTCTCTCTCTCTCTCTCTCTCTCTCTCTCTCTCTCTCTCTCTCTTTATGCACTAATTAGGTCTGGCCTAAGATAATGTGATGAAGTCCATCGCCCAAGTATTAGTCTTCCTACGGAGACTGGGACCCTTTACTGTTCCCAGTGTTATGTGCGCTGGGCGGTAGCCTCCAGACCCCAAGACTCGTTGTGGAGACCCAAGATCACACTATGGAGACCCATGACTTGCTATTGTGACCCAAAATCTCAGAGCCCACCACAGCTCTGTCAGGGACAGAAGCAAATGTCAAAAGGCGAAGCAACAGCTGATGTCATAAACATTCTGGAAATTTTATTGAGGACTTCGAGCATCCATTTATACATAGCACAATAAACTTAACGGAAAGCTAAATCAATTTTCTCTTCATATTTCGCTTCAAAATAGGCCAGTAAGTTTGTTAGGGTCATATGTTCACAGGTTTTCCAAGTGCTTTCCCAGAGACTCAACAAAATTCAATTTCCTGTAAGCGAGGGGGCGGATATTGGCAGAAATTACACCACCCTACACTGTGTAGACCACCCTACACTGTCTACACCACCCTACACTGTCTACACCACCCTACACTGTCTACACCACCCTACACTGTCTACACCACCCTACACTGTCTGCACCACCCTACACTGTCTGCACCACCCTACACTGTCTGCACCACCCTACACTGTCTACACCACCCTACACTGTCTACACCACCCTACACTGTCTACACCACCCTACACTGTCTGCACCACCCTACACTGTCTACACCACCCTACACTGTCTGCACCACCCTACACTGTCTACACCACCCTACACTGTCTACACCACCCTACACTGTCTACACCACCCTACACGGTCTGCACCACCCTACACGGTCTGCACCACCCTACACTGTCTACACCACCCTACACTGTCTACACCACCCTACACTGTCTACACCACCCTACACTGTCTGCACCACCCTACACTGTCTGCACCACCCTACACTGTCTACACCACCCTACACTGTCTACACCACCCTACACTGTCTACACCACCCTACACTGTCTACACCACCCTACACTGTCTACACCACCCTACACTGTCTGCACCACCCTACACTGTCTGCACCACCCTACACTGTCTACACCACCCTACACTGTCTGCACCACCCTACACTGTCTACACCACCTCCCAGGAGGGTGTGTGAGGGTCTCAGTAGTATCTGAAACACACGTTGTGTCGTGTCGAACACGTTATCATGATACAATAATGATTTACATTATAAACTTTCGGCTCCTCTCACACAACTTTTGTATGTATTTATTATTTGTGTCCGCAGTATCGAGCTATTAGCTCTTGGGCCCGCCTTTCTAACTAATCTTTATCATTAACATAAGGCTAACCCCTGGTACAGTTGGTAGAGCGTCTTCCTCCCATGCCAGAGGTCGGGGGTTCGCGGCGCGAGGTGCTCAAGGTGAATGAACTATACAAGTAGTTTAAATTACGTTTGAATTATTATTCAAATATATGTCGTGCTTCCTTTAGGAGGGGCCTCGCGGCTAAGTGGACAGCGATGTGGGGTCATAGTCCTAAGGGCCCGGGTTCGATCCCTGGCAGGGTCAGAAACAAATGACAGGGTCAGTGGTGGTGGTTCAACTTTGGCTCTTTGGTCCCGCTTCTCAACCGTCAATCAACTGATGTACAGATTCTTGAGCCTACTGGGCTCTATCATATCTACATTTGAAATTATGTATGGAGTCAGCCTCCACCACATCACTGCTTAACGCATTCTATCTGTTAACTATCCTGCCACTGAAAATGTCTCTGAAGTCTCTGTGGCTGATTTGGGTAATCTGTGTTCCCATGTTCGTGTGCCACACATCCTAAATAGTTTGAATTTGTTCACTCTGTCAGTTCCTCTGAGAATTTTTAAGGTGGTAATCATGTCTTTCCTTACTCTTCTGTCTTCTAGGGACGTGAGGTTTAATTCCCGTAGCCTTTCAGCGTAGTTCATACGTTTCAGTTCTGGGACTAGTCTGGTGGAATGGACTCTGTACGGTATGGACTCATTAATTAGGATTGAACTCTAGGTTGGAGCTGCATATTTCAGAATTGGTCTGACACAAGTGGTATATAATGTTCTGAATAATTCCTTACACAAGTTTCGAAAGGCAGATCTTACGTTGGCCAGTCTATCATATGCCGCTGATAATATCCTTTTGATGTGGGCGTCTCTGGACAGGTTCGGTGTCCTCATGCAACCCCTTCTTGCATGGATGAACTAAAGAAAGAACGTTGCATCACTCTTATATAAAATCATCACACACGTCGTAAGCCTGAATTTGCATAAAAGTTTCCTTTATGCATAGTTAAATGTGCATAAAAGTTTCAGAAGTATTGCGGCGAGGCTGTCCGCCCTCAGCAGTGGTGGTGGTGATGATCCAGCCCTCCCGCCCTCAGCCCTCCCTCTCTCCCTCCCGCCCTCAGCCCTCCCTCTCTCCCTCCCGCCCTCAGCCCTCCCTCCCACCCTCGCCCCTTCTCCCTCCCATCCTCACTATCTCCAAATTATTATCACATTTTCATGTCCCTTTTATGGCCTCTCAAATGACTGTATCCTTCACGAGACGAAAAATATAATATTTGTGTGTCCCTGAAGACACGAAGCCACAACCACACGCACTGAGGCCATACACTGTGTGTGTGTGTGTTGAGGCAGATCAACAGCAGGTATTATATATTGAGAAGGGGAGAATGTCAGGTCAGGTGGGGAGAGTTCAGGAGAGAGGACCTCTCTCTCTCTCTCTCTCTCTCTCTCTCTCTCTCTCTCTCTCTCTCTCTCTCTCTCTCTCTCTCTCTCTCTCTCTCTCTCTCTCTCTCTCTCTCTCTCACCCTCACCTGGTACTTTAGAGGATATCAGTCACTCCTCTTGTTACCAGTTATCAGCAGTAAAAAAAAAACTAACAGAATAAGACAGAGAAATAAAGAAAGAGACGGAGGGTTTAAACAGCTGAAAAGAATACCATTACGGAAGCTCCAGTAATGTGTGAATAATGAGCTCAATATCTCAGGGCTACAAGACGATATTATGAATCATTCTTAAATACGAACCATCATTACTGAACGTAACAACTGACCTATAATATATATTTACAGTTTAAAATGGTAGTGCTCTTAAATTTATAACAATCTCTCTCAAGTTCTGTATGTTGTATATCTGGTGTTATATATATCATTTGGGAGGTCGGGCAGCACTCTGGTCTAATCCCTCCACTATACTGGCTAAATTGCAGGTCGGCGTTCAAACCCGGACCGGCCAAGTGGCTGGTCACCATTCCTTTCCTCTGTCCTATCCCAAATCCCTATCCTCATACAATTTGCAAGTGTTATATAGTCGTAATGGCTTAGTGCTTTCTTTTGATCATTACCTAATCTTGCTTGTTGCAACCACAGTTGATCCGTTTTTTCAGGTGCCTCCTGTCACCTGTATTATTCCCCACTCCCAGGTGAGGGATGGACATGTGTGGGTGGACGGGAAGGACTGATGTGCTGATGACAGGTGGGCGGAGGACATGGGGGGAGGGTTTGGGGGACAGGAAACTCAAATTGAAATTGATCAAATTTAAAACACATTCTCGGGAATTTAAGGCTGTAAAGTTTTCCCAAAATTAAGTAATGATTCTCGGCATTAATCGTGACTTTTGCCAGCTCTCTTGATCAATGGTCATCATTAACGATTTGTGGAGGAAGTTGGTGAGTCAGTGTTGAAGATGTGGCTCCTTTGTGGTCCCTTCCACGGAGCCACAGCGCCTCAGCCACCTCCTTGTATTAATAACATTACCTTAAATAAAGG